TTATGTTTCTCCTTGAAATATCAAGTGCAGGGATTGGCAAACGCAGTTTATTGATCTAGCAAGGACCTGGAACAGCAAGCCTCTATGCCCGTTTATATGTTTAGCATCCTCTAATGTTAGTAGAGTCAAATGTCTGTCAACATTTTTAAACCATTGCTGCTCTGAGTTTCAACCTGGCAAGAAAATTTGCACCATAAATGTACATTTTGGTACTACTTCTGAACTCTAAAATGGAGTCCATTCCTACCACTGTCTATGAAAATAGCTAATTATGATAGTGACAGAGCCTTCATTCATTGCATCACTTCCTTTACTGAAAATGTTTGCCAGTGTAGTGCTGTGCTAAATTATTTTCTTCTTTAATTCCATTAGCATGGTTATAGTACTGATCGATTTGGTGATGTGCGCTTAAAATGAGATCCACAAGATATTTGGATGCCTAACTGCCATTGACTCAATCAGAATCACTTGCCTAAATACCTTTGAGATCTGGTGCTATAGGCATTAATAACTATGGATCAGGACTAATTGGTTTGGATTCCTGAATTCTTGAATGGTCAATTGGAGGTGTTTTAAAGCGGCATATTTTTCTTAGACTGAACACTCAGCACTGACTGAAAGCTGATGGTTTTTTTTTGAGGTGTCTTCAGCTGGGGATGGAAATCACTTGTCACTTTTGAAAGCTTTGGTTGACAGCTACTGTAATAAAACAGTCACCAATCCCCAATACTCTAGTATTTCAAATAAGTGTTCTAAATGAGAGTGAGAGTCTTTCCCTTAATAGACGGCCTTGAAAAACTATTTCTTTGTGACAATAAAACAAGGAAAAAAACTGGCCCATCAACCCCCCTCCCCCCAAAAAAAAACCCAAAACCCAAACCAACAGTCCTTATCTGAGTTGTACTTGGATTGTGTAATACAAGCAATTTTGATCTGACAGTTCAACAACTGTGTCAGATCTCTGGAAATTGGAGATTACATAAAATAATTGCATTATTTTGTATTGTAAGAAAGGATATTAGAACTACCAAATGGGATCTTTATAGACAAATACAATGTAAAGATGTAAAAAATATATAGTGGTTTATTGGCAAAATCCTGGAGCAGATTCTCCTGGAAGGCATGCTAAGGCACATGAAAATCAACAAGGTGCTTGGTGACAGCCAGCATGGCTTCACTAAGGGGAAATCCTGCCTGACCAATTTGGTGGCCTTCTATGATGGGGCTACAGAACTGATGGACAGGGGTAGAGCAGTTGATGTCATCTACCTGGACTTCTGTAAAGCCTTCAATACTGTCCCACACGACATCCTTGTCTCTAAACTGGAGAGACATCAATTTGATGGATGGACCACTCAGTGGATAAAGAACTGGCTGGATGGCTGCACACAAAGAGTTGTGGTCAGTGGCTCAATGTCCAGCTGGAGACCAGTGACGAGTGGTGTCCCTCAGGGATCGGTGTTGGGACCGGTCTTGTTTAACATCTTCATCACTGACATGGACAGTGGGATTGAGTGCGCCCTCAGCAAGTTTGCCGATGACACCAAGCTGTGTGGTTTGGTTGATACCCTGGAGAGGAGGAATGCCATTCAGAGGGACCTCGACACACTTGTGAGGTGGGTTGATGCCAACCTCATGAAGTTTAACCATGCCAAGTGCAAGGTCCTACACCTGGGTGGGAGCAATCCCAGGCACAGCTACAGGTTGGGCAGAGAAGAGACTCAGAGCAGCCCTGCAGAGAAGGACTTGGGGGTGTTGGTTGATGAGAAAATGAACATGAGCCGGCTTCAGTGTGCGCTTGCAGGCCAGAAAGCCAGCCGTATCCTGGGCTGCATCAAAAGGAGCGTGACCAGCAGGTCGAAGGAGGTGATCCTGCCCCTCTACTCTGCTCTTGTGAGACCTCACCTGGAGTATTGTGTGCAGTTCTGGTGTCCTCAACATAAAAAGGACATGGAACTGTTGGAACAAGTCCAGAGAAGGACCACGAGGATGATCAGGGGACTGGAGCACCTCCTGTATGAAGACAGGCTGAGGAAGTTGGGGCTGTTCAGCCTGGAGAAGAGAAGGCTTTGTGGAGACCCTTCCAGTATCTGAAAGGGGACTATAGGGATGCTGGGGAGGAGCTCTTCATTAGGGACTGTAGTGACAGGACAAGGGGAAATTCACTGTGAGGGTGGTGAGGCACTGGAATGAGTTGCCCAGGGAGGTTGTGAATGCTCCATCCCTGGCAGTGTTCAAGACCAGGTTGGACGAGGCCTTGGGTGATATGGTTTAGTGGGAGGTGTCCCTGCCCATGGCAGTGGGGCTGGAACTTGATGATCTTAAGGTCCTTTCCAACCCTAACTATTCTGTGATTCTATGATTCTATGATTGTTGAACAGAAGATCTCAAGGCCTTTCTATGTATTACATAGAGAAGTAACTGCAGCTGTTTTAGAGCTGTAGGGATGCATTCCTGAATTACTCCATAAAAGGCTTAAAGGATATGCGCATTCAAAATGCAATTTATGAAGGAGGCTGCCTGTAGACAACCTGTGACTGTTGGCTTGGGAGGTTAATGCACATTAAATTTTTCTGTTCTTCAGCATAAGTAACATACAATTCCCAACTCACATAACTTCTTTATTGCCTTTATATTCCCAGAGTACATATAGTCCTGAATTATACCATAATTATATATGGTGATATATTTCTTTTCATGGGTAGCAGAATGAAATGCACGTCACCTGTGGGTCTGTAGGCTGTAGCAGATCCACTATGAGAAGCCACTGCCTATGGGTTGATTCACAGTGAGCTTCTCACTTTGCTGAGAGTATGCCATGTGTGAATAACACTGCAGTCTCTTGCCATGTTGCAGCTAAACTGTTGTAATTCCCCTACATCTTCTCCCACAAAATACTATGAAACATGTAATGAGATGGAAAATAGTAGTTGTTGTAGAAGGTGATGTTATATACTAGGATGAACCTAGTCTTTTCATTGCTTTCTTTCTTAGCAAACCCACTAAATTCCACTTAGGGGGTTGTATTTGTATTTATTTTTCATGATTTTTTTTATGCATGTGCGTGTACAGTTTGTGTAGAAACTCAAATTGGGATGTGCCTGCTGCTAGGCTGCGCATCTTCAGAAATGCAGGAATTGCTTTTTCCTTTCTAGTATATTAAGACATGAGCCATTTTCCTGATTGTTACTATAGTGCCTGGCACACTATTCTTGTAATTAATATTAAATGATTTCTAATTTACACTCAGAACATAGCCCCATTCTTCCTTCCACAGAATAATAATTTATTGATTTCATTTTGCTTGAAATATTGTCCTATCTGAAAGTAATTTTCCCCTGAGAGACCCAGCACTAAAGTGCCAGTGGTGTGCATATACAGAGACCCACCAATTCTGAGTGTAAGCCTTTCAGGTAGCGGCTAAACTACTGGTTGCAAAAGTTTTACATCTGTGTGGCTGAAAAGATCCGTGTCCTAGGATACAAAGTAAAGGGAAGGTGAGGGAGAGTGCTGGAGGTGAAACTGCATAGTGAGCCTTATCTCATTCCATATTCCACAGCTCCATGCTGAATATCATTGCTTGCACATTTTGGGAACCGCTTCTTACTATACAAGCCATGTGAGAAATATGTTACCCAATTTAGAAAGTAGTAAAGCTCTCTAAGTACTGTAAAAGTGATGATGATTAATGCAAGAGTTGTAGTCAGCTCTTTAAACACTTAGTATAGCTTCTTTTTCCACTGCTGTTCAGAGAAGAAAAGAAATAGGCACAACTGAAAGCTACAGGAGGATGGGTCACAGTGAACGGTGTCTATGCAGACTGTTCCTGCCTACTTTAACTATTCTATAGCTGCATTAATCCCCACATTTAATAGCCTGCTGAGACGATACACTGCACTGGAAATCACTGAAAGGAACAGCTGCAGTTAGCAGCATACTTGTTTTTAAGAAATTAGTAAAGTTTTCAGTAAAATGGATGGCAAGACAACACTTCCGAATTGTCTTTGGCATGTATGGCCCCTGTCCCTGCCCTATGGGCTGATAAGGTCCTGTCATGTCTGCAGGAAATCAGGTCAGAGTACAGCATTCTTCCATGATGCTGAATTAGTTCTACTGGTCCTGCAGATTAAGAAGGAAATATCTGGGCTATGCAGCAATACAGAAAATAATCTGAAGCCTTGCCCAAGATTGCTGTGTGTTCTAAGTACAAAGCTTAGTAAGTGAATTTCTTATATCTGGAGGCATTAAACAAAAAGTGTTAGAGCAACAAGCGTATACCTAAAACTGTGCTATTTGGCTCTAATTTCCATTATCTATTCCAGTATTGCAACTTTATACTACTCCTTGAACAATCTCCATATGTGCAGTTGTGATTTAATGTATTTCTGTCATTCATTAAACACTTTTACTCATCTCTCCTTTAGTGTGAGTGTGGTGAGACACTGGAACAGGCTGCTCAGAGAAGTTGTGGATGCCCCATCCCTGGCAGTGTTCAAAGCCAGGTTGGATGGGGCTTTGAGCAACCTGGTGTAGTGGAAGGTGTCCCTGCCCATGGCAGAGCGATTGCAACTAGTTGAGCTTTAAGGTCCCTTCCAACCCAAACCATTTTATGATTGTGTCCCACCCACTTATTCTTACCCTTCTCATGTCGAGACCATCTATTCTCTGCTCCTTCATTTGCATCACAGGCTTTGGGGGTTTCCTGTTCTCCTTTCACCTCCTTACTAGCACAGTTGCCCATACTTCTGTTAGTACGTTCCTAATATTGACTGCCCTTCATCCACTGCCCCTCATTTTCTCTCTCCAGATGTTTTGTGTGCTACTCTTCCCCTGTGCCTGCTGCTATGTTCTTTTATAGTCTGCATTATCACTGCATTGACACTGCATTGCCCTGGCAGACCAAACTCTCCCATGGGGCAGGAGGCTCATGCACCGGGGAGGTCCATACCCGTGTCCGCTGGCACCGGGTGTTTCCGCCCGGCCCCCGGGGCGGCGGGAGCGGGCAGCCGAGCTGTCCAGGGTGCTGAACGCCACCGACGGACTGGGCTGACGTCTGCGTGTACTCTCCGTTTGATGGCAGCCGCAGGTGTGAATGGCAAAGAAACACAGGTATCTCCGAAAGCTAACCCCCAAATTTCCTGTTTAATATAGAGGAAAGTTATCAGCCTGCTAAGGTAAAGCATCATGTATCTATCTAGTAAGAAATCTTAAAAAATGACATGAGGGAAGAGAATAGTATTGCTGTAAAATGGATTTGGTGGCTTTTTTTTTATTAATCAGGCTTGCTATTTTTGTCCAATATCAGCCTTTGATCTTATGAGGATTCTTCAGGGACATAATGGAAAAACTGAGAGCCAGATTTTAATTCTCCCATGACTGTGATTCAGGAGTAATTGTACTGAAGTCAAATTAAACTAATGTGAAACAGATGTAAGCACATTCAGAAAGAGACTAAATACTGTGCAGGTTGAGGTAATACTTTTTTACATGACAGATCTTTTATTGGAAAAAAAAAACAGCTACATACTATTAGACTAATAATGTGCATGCACTTTTCCAGACACTGTAGTGCTCCTGGCTGTACAAAGGGATTGATATAACAGGTGTCTGAAAGCTGAAGTGTGGATAATGAGGAATAGTTACTAGAAAAAAATGATGATGAAGATGATTACAAGATGTGAACTAGGTACCCCCTCTTCTGTTCCGGCATTTAGAGGGTGGATGCTCAAAGTGGGTCTGAGGATATGAACAATGTGTTAAGATATGAGAGGCAGGATCCATAGCGTATTGTGTTTAGTGTCCCTATCTAAAGGAACCTGCAGACAGGCTGTGGTAACTCAAACAGGTCAGATTTGAGAAGACACCATCCTGGCAAAGGTTATTACTGAGGTGCAATTTTCTCAGGTATATTCACTGATGTCACTGAAACCGTTTCTGCCAATAAATTCTGTTCTTTGGATTAATCCCTGAATGAATGAAGATACAGCACTGCATGCTATGACTTAAAAAGTGGTAAGAAACTGCATGCAGTAGAAGGCAATAAAACCAGTAAGTTGCTTTTCCTTGCACAGTACATAGTAGTCCTGATGCTTAATTAACTTCCTGATTCCTAGATTCATTTCTAAAGCTTTTGAGAACCATCTGAAAAAAAAGTCTTAAGGTTATCCTAGAGAGAAGGCTTTGCAAGTCTTCCTAGACAGAAAGCTTCCTAGAAAATAAAGAAGTTATAAAAGGATTCTGCACTGGATCCTGTCCAAGTTCATACTACTAGAAGATGGGTCAATAGAATATAAAGAACAGGATGCACTTCACTTGGGTTATTCTCTGGTTCCCTTGGTCTGAGTGTAAATAACAGCACTCCTGTGGCAATAAACTGAATAAAGAATGATCTTCACATGTAGAAATACCAGATTTCAAACAACCATATAGTTAACCATGAATAGTTGCATACACAAATGAGCATGCTGCAATGTGATGACGCAAAGACTGTGTAGACTTCTCATCCCTTCAGTGCATCCCAGAAATTGAACATACAAGTTTAAGGTGATTTCTGTCTACTATCAAAGCATTTTTCCATTCCTGCTCACTGGATTTAAGTAGCTATAAGAACTATTTATTTGTCTGTTCTGCTATGGATTCGTTTGAGTTCCATCAGAACAACTTCTAAATCACTCATGCCATATTACTAATGAACAGTAAAAGTGCACTTAGCATTTTATTTCTTTTTTCAGTAAGCTCACTTATAATAGAAAGCCTTTTATCTATTGTGTTGTGACTGTTACAGGCCAAGTGCTGTAAGGCACCGATTCTCCAATAAAACCAACTATAAGGACAGTAAGTCTGAACAATGAGCCCTAAATGAAAAATTTAGTCAGACCAGTTTGATAAACTATTGGTATAAAGTTGAGTCCTGAAAATTCTCATGCAGGTACTATTTTAGATTGATCATGCTATAGTTATTGTCTTTTTTTTTCTTGGTGGTCTTTCATTTAAATATTGAACATTACTGAATCTACTTAGCTTGTAAAAGTTGACAGAGTAACAGCTTGAAACACTGTAGCTTCAAGGCAGCACCAGCTCTCCCTATCACAAGAATTCACCACCACTGAGGGGTAAAAGGCCTTTTATTTGCATAAGATAATAGTTACGTTTCTATGCAACAGCTGTGCTTCAGTGAAAGATGCACTCATTATGCCAAATCCATCTCTGGAGTAACCCCATTGATTTTAAATGACTTACTTTGAGATTAAACTGGCCCACTAGATAAAACTGCAGGTCTGAGGCATTGAAATAATTGAGCAAGATTTCCATGATCTTTAACATGGCAAAAAAATTGCAAATCAATTACATGATGTCATGCATTTATGTACCTAACAGTTCACAACTGATTTGCCACAAGGTTTTCAAACCATACAGCTAGAGCAAACTTTTCTGCAGAGCTGACAGACACTTTTGAGGAATATGGGAACATTAAGAGGGTACAGGGATATAGCATTGTGTCATTATTATCTTCTTACTGCTACTGTAAGTCAAACAAATATGAGATGTCTCTATAAGGTCAGTTTACTAATACAGGATTTATACGGCCACATGAAAATTCCTCTTCTTTAGACAGTGACAACCAGGATGTGTTTCCAGTAATGAACTACCTGAAGATTTCACCTCTAGGCTATAGACTTCCTGTGTATGTTTGCAGTGATCTAATGGTGGAACTCAAACAATGGCCTGTTTGAGTTCAGTGATCTTATGAGAGTTCTCAGTTGTCAGATGCCTGTGGCACAATACCCATCTCATCAGTTAACTGCTGTTAGTTATGTCACAAAGTAGTGCTTGGGTTAGAGTGTTACAATTGAGTAATATATGTCTATATGTTAGTGGTTCCCAGTAAAGTACAAGGAAGATGCCGTTAAACTGGAAACTGTTTCGAATGCTGAGGAAGTTATATACATGCTTATATAAGTTATATATGTATGCACGTATAAATACATAAATAGTTCTTTATTGATACATATCTGATAAGTGATCTTCTTGTGGGTTCAGAAGCCTTCTTTGAAGACACTTTGGTTATTGGAATCATTAAAAGATTTCCCAAGCATGATTCAAGCGATCACACAATTAGAAATGCCAACTGTCACTTTTGCTTCCATTCAGTTTGCAGAAGTAATATCAACAGGAATTCCAAAGCCTGTTTAGAATGCATCACGGTTTGCTTGCAAAGGGAATACCTTATGCTCCTGATGTCATCATTGCAATTATCTCAAATTCAAGTCTTACTGAGCAGGCTCATTATCATTCTTACCATGTCCTCCCTCAGAGCAGCCTCTCCCGCCTCCTCCTCTACAGCACAAAACAAGTGCCACAGGGGAGCTTGGATTAGGGAGAGACACCCAGCACCTCCCCCTAAGAAAACTTGCTGCATTATTTCCATCTAGTTTTATCAAACTACATACTGCTTTACAGGACCTTGCACACCACCACCAATGAAGACCTGGATTCACCAATACTGAATTCTCTTTCCTGTTTAGGGTTCAACAAAGACTGGGGACAAACATAGATGTGTGTATTTAGCTTAGGAATGTGGATATGAAGAGAATATGCCAGTTTCCACCACAAGATTTTCCTAAAGATACTCACACATTTCCGACTGCTTTTTTTGCTGTTGTTGTTGTTGTTTGTTTTCCTCACCAGGGCAAATTTCTTCCCTTGTCTTACAAGGTTACCTAACATCTGAGCAACAGATAGGAAAGCAAGACAGAACAGTTGATCAAAAAGAAGTACAGAGCAAAATGCAGGGGACAAACTGTGTCAGGCACCAGGTTTAAATCACAACCACGTTTCCTGAAAATGTAGGTCCTGGCTATGGACCTCAGTACTGATTCTGAGGTCTCTGACCCATGACCCACATGAATTTGTGGATCTCATCCCTAAACCATTCTCACTGAACAGTCCCCTTCACACAAGGAGCGGGTTTCTACTGTGGAAGAGAGGAGACAGGATAGGGTTAACCTCACACCGTCCTTCTTCAGGCCCCCAGAGGGGCTGGGGTTTTGTTTTCCTGGGTAAAGGAGGGGGAGCTGGGGCTTGTACTATAACTAGAAATGGAGATCTTGCTGGTGTTACCAGCCTGTTTTGGGTCTGAGGGAAAGCCTGGCAGGAGGGAGAGGAGGAAGAACGCAGCCTTGGAAAGCAGCGGCTGGTAATTGCACAAGGCAAAACCAAGCGTCCTCCATTTCCCCGAATCCCCCTGAGAGCTAAGGGGGGCTTCGAGAGAGAGTTCTCCAGCCTTCCTCCCTGCCCCCTCCCCGCAGCCTAGCCATATCTTCCTGCTCTGTCTCGCCAGCCCTTGCCTTGACACGAGGTGTTTGTCCCTGCTAGCAGCGCGGAGGGCAGCGGGGCCAGAAAGGGGAGCAGGGGTCCCCCGGCCTTCGGGTTGCCCGGTTCTGGTCCCCCAGAGCCTGCGGGGGCTCGGATGATTCCCTGCCCTTCCCCTCCCCCTGCGCTGCAGAGCCTCCTGATGCTGCCGTACTCCTGCCATGTGCTGCCGCCGTCGCTGCTGAGGCTCGTAGCTTAGCCGAGCGTGTCTCCGGCTGCAAACTCCGCCAAACAAACCTGCATCCTCCTCCAGGGAAGGATACCCAGTAGGTACCAGCCGGAACCTGCCCCCTCCCTAAGGCATCCCGCTACCGCCTCTTCCAAAAGACTCGCAGCTTCTCCCCACCCCCTTTTTAAAGCGCAGAGAGGGGCTCCGTGAATTCCCTCCAAAGCTATAGGGTGGCTCCCTCCTTCTCCTCCTCCTCCACCTTCTCCTTCTCTTCGTGCTCCGTCTCTCCTCGGCGAGCCGGACTGCTGCGGCAGCCAGCGGGGTCCTCCCAGCCTCGCCCAGCCATGCCCCTGCGGCTCGCCCCCCCGGGCTGACTTTTGTTACCCCTCTAGTGCCGGGGGCTGAACTGAGGTGGGCACCTTTTTGGTGGGCGTCTGAGGTTGGAGAGAATGTGCGCGTGTGGGAGGTGTCCCTGGGGCTGAGAGGAGACGATGATTCCCCGATCCTTGCAAGCCTGTGGGCTCGCCAGCACGGGCGCCCCTCGGGTGGGCGCGGAGGGGCCGGGCTGCAGCGGATACCCGCTACCCTCACACACATCTGCCGGTGGGCCGGGCTAGCCGGCTGTGGGAGCCTCCCCAGGAGCCAGCGGCACCCGGGACCCGCTGCCCAGCTCAGCCCCCTCCGTTCCCGCTCCCCCCCCCCCCCCCAAGACCCTCTCCGGTCCTCACTCCATTCTTCACCCCTGTCTCTGTCGGGGTGCCTGCACCCCTCCTCACCTCTCCGGTACAAACCCCACCACTCCACTCCCGTTCCCGCCCCTCCCCACCTTCTTTGATTTATTTGTGTATTTCTTTCCTTGGCAACCACCAGTTCCCCTCAGTCAAACAGCGCAGGCTCCCTATAATTTGAAATTAATTTGTTTGACTGCAGCATTCAGACAGGAAGGTTGGGGATTTATTTAATTCATTTTTCTCCCTGTGCAAAAAGGAAGCGATGAAATTTCCAATCGAGACTCCAAGAAAACAGGTGAACTGGGATCCTCAAGGTTGGTGATTCTCTACTACTATCATTACTGTAATAATAGCAATTATATTATTCCTTGTGTCTAGTGACTTGTAGGAGAGTATTTGACTCCAAATGGGAGGAGACGTTGGATGATTGTCTGTTTCCCATGTGCACTGCTCAGTATTTTTTGCTCAATCCTAGCGGCGCATTAGAAAATGCTCCTCAAATGTGGAGTTGGGTGGGTGCGTGGGTAAAACCTTTTCTAGGTGTAAGTTTTATAGTTCTATATTTGATATCTCTCTCCCCTCCGTTTTTCTTGAGTATTTTCATGACAAACTTGCCTGGGATGGCTGTGATCTCTGACTCACAGCATTGTTTGTTTTATCTGTGTCTCCTTTGTTGTTTCTAGTGATCATTGTCTCTGCTAAATGGGTGGTACAGGAGTGGACACAGATGTGACTGCTTCCTCAGGGCTCCTTCATGGCAAATGTTTGTTGGCAAGCAACTGGAGCAAAATGCTGTTTCAATATAATCCATAGTGTGAACAGTATAAAAAGACACATTAAATGGAGCCCAAAGGGACCTTTAGACTCCTTATTCTGTCCTGTTAACAACTGATCAGCCCAAGTGGATAGTTTGATTAACTCTATAGTTAGGTTTTGAGTCTGTCTTGGGGAGTGTGTTTATGTGGTGGTGAAAGGAGATTTACACCAGTGCAGCAGTTTTCAGTAAAATGATCTGAATGGTGTTTTAAAATAAACCATAATGAAATGCTCTCCTTTCCTGGCATGGGGAGGAGGTTCATATGCAACCTACAGAAAAGTGGCTGAAAAAAACCCTACTGGTAATTTGTATACTAGTGTGTCATCTTTCTGTGCATCAGTACAGGAGCAGAGCAGCTCGAAGCCATATGCTCAGATTTGCAGCAGAACTGCTGGCAGCTGAGCACTGTACAGCAGTAGTTGCAGGAAGTATGAAGTGATAGCACAGGCTTTCATTATTCATCTTTATTCCGCAGGTTTGGTTTTAGTGGTCAATTTGTCTGTCATCCTCTATGCCCTCATGTCTACCAAATGAAATGTTAGAAACAGTTTCTCCTGGTGTAGAAGGAATACAACAGAACAGACATCTTTCTGCTCAGCAGATCTGTTTGAAAATTATACACAATTAAGCTTTAGGTTAAATCTTACTACGTCTTTAATTAGGTGAAGGCTGAAATCGCCACATCAGTCTCCTCCACAGCTTCACAATGAACACATAGATGTTAGTGCTAACAGAGATCTGATTATTTCAATAACAGTATATTCCTTACCATAGGGTCAAAATTCTGCATGGCAAAAACTTGCTGTTCACAGGTGCTTTTCTGAATGTGTATTTGCTGTAGCTTCATTTTAATTCATTTTATGTGTTGCAAAATGTCTTTTAATGCAAAAACCCCTTTTCTCCTTTCCCCTGAGAAAACGCACAGGAGGCTGTACTGATGGCACTCTGTATGCAGCTCCTTTGCTTGGCAATCAACTTCAAAGCATATGGATCCAACAGGTGGTCAGTCACAATTTCCTAATGTCTCCAAAATGGTAGGGTACTGTGATAGTTAAAAGACCTTAAACCCAGTAGGTTTCCTCTCTGCCAAGCTGAATCCCTGCTAAGGACTGCAGAATTCTATCACTTATTTCTTCTTTGTATGTTGGCAGCATTAGGCAGGCAACAAGGGTGCTAATGGGAAGGAAGGAAGCAAAAAATGTTAGTTTCTAATTCTCCGAGGGACTCAGGAAATAGGTAAAATTTGGTGGAATGGAAAAAAGCAAACTGGTAAGGAAAAGTTGTCTAAGACCCAATCCGTTGACCAATAGAGGAGCAGTGCAATGATGTACTCACATAGTCCCACTGAAGAATTAGTGATGTGGGTAGAAGACAAGATGATAGTTCATTCCTTTTGAAATGAAAATAGATTTCTGTAGATGTAAATGTTAGCAAAAATCTACACAAAATCACTTAGAGCCCTAAAATGAATTTGATTTACAGTCACATATGTAGTCTGTGCTCTGGATGTACATGTGAAGAATGATGTAATGTTTTTCACTGGATGTGATATCCTTGGAGTTAAGGACTGAAGGAGCTTTTCTCAGATACAAAGATCAACATGTAGAAAGCTGGTGGTACAAGGATACAGCATCCTAAGTATTAAAAGCTCATGTCCAGTTAATGTTCATGCTCAAATACCAGTTTCATTTCAATGTGTATTGTATGATCATGCCCTGTTCCATTCATCAGACAGAGAACGTGCAATTTCCACAGTTTCGTCTAGTAGGAATTGTGCTAACTTATGCTAACAGTACTTGAAATACATCAATTGATGTTCCTGGCAAGCAAGTTAACAGTCCAGTGATGTAAGTGAGATCTATGGTGTCTCAAAGACTGTTTAGATCTGATTATTACAGGCAATATTTTCTAGAAACTATACACATTTCTAAATGCCAGGGCCCTTGTTGTGGGGATATGGCTTGCTGGTTTGGCATGGGACAGATGCTGATTTGAACCCAGGTCAGAATGATAGTTATTGAAATGAATTAATGCTCAAAGTCCATAATGCTGACTGAACTATAAATGTTTACATAGATAAATAGATTAGAGCCTGCTAGTAGCTTTCATCTGGCATAAAACTGGTATTCTCAGTTCACAATAGCAAAGATCAGTATACCGTAGAAAGACTTTGTGGAAAGAAGAGGTTTAAAAGAATAGAATTGACATGAGGGACGGTGCCTGACAGACAGCTAATGGGAAGCTGTTTTCTCAGTCATTAAAATTGAAAGAATAGGGCATGGAGACTGAGCTGTGCCTGCTGTGTAGTGTCTTCATTTGTCTTAGGTATAAGGTATATATCTGTGTGTTCCCTGTAAATGCTGAGTGTGTTGTCTAGACATACCAAGTATTTCACAAATCTGGAAGTAAATAGGGTCCAGATTCCTTCATTGAAGCTCCCTGCTACTCCAGGCAATCAAACTATGTAATCCCATTAACAAAGATCAAACTCCATCCCCAAAGTCACTGGGACTTGTCCCTGACATTTGAATGTGAATTATGGGAAAAATCTCGTATGTATTGATTAAAAAACTTACTAGTCATACCCAGTGCGTGAATGGGGTAAAAAATGAGTATAAAACCTAAGCAGGCACCTCAAGAATGTTGTAGGGAGAGCTGGACATGTTGAGTACGGGTGCAAGTTTTTACACTACCTGGCCTTACATTAAAAACAAAACAAAACAGCAAACAAATAAAAAAAACCCAACCAAAACCCCAAAGCCTGCCATTTGTGTTACTGATGGAATCAGCCTGGATATACACAATCATAAAACATTTGATCTGCCTATCACTGGTTTTTGCTTCTCTCATTTGGTGCAATTCAGGTAAAGCAATAATAACAGAAATTAGTGAAAGGCCAGATCTTTAGTTTCATACCTCATATAACTTCCCATTTATACATTTTGGAATATAAGATTGGGTTTATAGCAACATGTGCAGACATTAATTCTTGTAATTGTTCTCATCTCTCCTCTTTACTGCATTCCTCCTGCTGTTTGTTACACCCACTTGTTGTCTCTGCTTGAATTGGTTTATAATCTCTGCACATACGTCTTCAGACAATACCTAAAACACAGTGGGTCCCTCATCCTGACTGAGACATCTGGAAGTTACAGCAGTAATTTTTTTTTCTCCTATCTGCTGAATTATCTGCTTAAAATGGCTGTTTCTTTATAGAAAAGAAGGATAGATGGGACTGTTTCCAATATGCTCAGAAATTATTCCCAAGTATAAATGTTTTGCAGGCTGATGATGAGATGCCCTTTTCTCAGGGAAGGAAGTCTATCTTGGTGGTGCTCCATTTGCTGCCTAGCAAATTGAGTTCAGTCTTGTTCCATCCTTTATACCTGCGGGTTTTTGCTGTCATTGCAGTGATATGGATTGTCAAAGCCTTCTGAATTTCTGGGCAGATGTTTATCTCTACACAGACCTTTTGGAATGCTGAAGTTTTGATGTAACTTCGTTTCGCAAAGACATTTGTGTAGGATGGTTTTCTGCAGTTTGGAACCCTAAAATTCTGCATTTATTATCATTCTTACATTTAGCATAGAAGTTAGTGGTCCATGGGGGATTCAAGCTGTAGTTGAAACACTGGAGTGCCTCTTCAGAGGAACTCATTTACTGTTTAACCTTCAGTAAGCCACTTACCTTGGCTCCTTTTCCTCCCCTTTTCCTGCACTGAAAAATGGGAATGTTAATACTTCCTTAATGCACAAGTGTGTTGTGAAATATAATTAACTTGTTTAGAGCAATCTAAGATCTGCTACTGAAAGAAGAGCATATGTATTGCAATCAAATGCTAAAGCAATTAGGAAGGAGCAAAACAGCCTGTCATCATCCACAGATCACAGCAATTAAGAAATAAGGTTATCTCTGCACTTTACAACTAGAGGAAACTTGTATTATTTGCGCTTCCTTATAGACACTGAAGGCTCAATTGAGTTTCCCTTTAGAGGTATCTAGAGACCTTTGATATTCCTCAGCTGCCACTCCAGAGGGGCTCCAGTCTTCCATAGGTCCTGGGTTAACTGCCATGAGATTTCTCTAGCTGAGACACCTCAAGCAGCACTGGACACCTATAAGTGGGACAACTGAGCAGTGTTTCAGTGCTTTCATGCAGATATCAGGATGAGATCATCTATCCCTTGATGACTATTTGTTGGAAAATCTTCAGCATCAGCTACTCAGTATAAATTAAGCTGATGCTGCCTGCAGAGTGTTACAAAATGCTGCAGTTCCTGCTTTTTCTGTCCTTTCATTCAAAGAGACAAATGCAGAAGGCAAACTTGATTATAAAGGTATAGATAAGTAGAATGAGGGATGTTCATTTCTGTCCTCTGATTTCAGTAAGATGTATAAAAAGAAGTGGAGTGTAACTTTGAGCTAGACACACTCTAGTGTGCACTAGTCATTCATTTCTTAGTAGTTCAGTATAAGAAGACTGCTATGGAAAGCTAT